TAGAATTCAACCAATAACAACGGAAATTGCAACCAAAATCAACAAACAATTGGATATAATTAGCTGGAAATCAATAACCCAAGCTGTAATTCTATTAATTAAGCTGAAATTTACACAGAAATAACAAAATAAACTGAGAAAGAAGGGGACATAATGGCAGCAGCAGAAGACAGGAAAAAGTGCAGAAGGAGGAGAAATAAGAGGAAGAAAAGGACAGAGAAGAAGATACCAGAGAAAAAGAAGGAGAAACAGGAGAAGAAGACTGGCAACAGCGGTGGACGCCAAGGATGAAGAAGACACGATTCGATTCAATATCCATCCTCCTTCCAAATGAAGAGATACAACCATATATAGAATAAAACAAATCTAAAAGTAAAGGGCTAGCCCACTTACAATACAAGCCTAACTAAAAAAAAAAAAAAAGGTTGAAGCCCAACCTTAAGGGTCCCCCACCGTCCTTGTCCTGAAGCATCGTGAGGGAGGTAAATCGCAGGTTATGCTTCCAAGAGTGCAAGGTGGAAGGTTGCTTGTACACTTACACTTACCCAAAAGTCAAATCCATATTTCAGAATTCTAACCCTTGACGCGGCAGCCTCAAGCAAAGCTGGTTAGATAAGCCATGACATTGTCGTGGTGATATAATCATCCTTTATATATCTAAATCAATTTTTCATTTTAATTTTATTTTTTTAAAAAAGTGGTCAAAGGGCCACATGAAAATATATTATCGGGTCAACCGGCCATTTCTACTCATTTCCTTTCCTAGCAATAACCATCAATCCTTTTGTACGCTGGTAGCCCGGTACTAATGCAAAAGAATCCGAAATTTCACTTTCTAGTTTCTATTCCCTTCAATAAAAAGGAAAACGATTTAATTTCTTTAAATGGAAAGTTCCGGCAGAGAAGTGGGTGGTGGCCGGCCGACATTCTGTGTCACCGGAGCAACAGGTTATATAGGGTCGTGGCTCGTGAAATGTCTCTTGCAAAAGGGTTATATAGTACATGCCACTGTCCGCAATCCCGGTCAGTGATTCATCACTCTTTTCTCTGCTACTATCGAAAAAACAAATCCATTTATGGTAATTGCAGTTACCGCTGTAATTTCACTCAAATAAGTGAAGGAGATGAAAATCAATGATGCATTGGGTAATAGGTACTTCAATTAACTAGATTATATGATTTAGCTGTACTCACACATAATCAAATCAAGGATAATAGCATGGAATGGAAGAGCTGTTTATTGAAATAGACCCAAGTCGTACGTCTACAGCTTAACTTAGAAAGCCTATTTTAATTGTGAGGAGTTGTTAATTGAGTTGAATCAGCTTAAAATCAATAATTTGGTCCATATGTCAAAGATTTGCCCGAAAAATGAAAGTTAGTCAGGTTAATTTATTGCTGAAATTTCTACTTCTTTCCTGTATTTGTCCAGGCAATTAAGTAGATTTATACGTAGAACCATATAATTGAATTCCAAGTTTAGTAATAGGGTTTTTTTGTTCAAAAAGATTCCATGGAACTGTTTAATTGTGTTTTAAGAAAAAAAGAAAAAGAAAAAGGGGAAGAGTCAATTGGCCATACATGAGTTAAGCTGAGCGGATGAAACTTGGCCTAAAACTTTTTCTGTGATCAGCGAGCGACTCCCATATGGTTTGTTTAGTTTAGAAATGCATGATTTTGTCAGTGTTTTGCTTCTTATTGCAAGCATTTAAAACAGCATTATTTCTATATTATTAGGAATCAGTTAGAAGTAAAATTCTCTTCAGGTGTGGAATCGTCTTCTTTTGAAGCATAACAAAGCTGTCACAAAGGCATTACGTTTAGATGCCCATAACAAAACCTTAGTTCTATTCATGAATTTTATGCTTAGTATCATGACAAAATATATATCCACCATCTTCTTTTCATACTTTCCAGAGAAATCATTCCATTTATTGAATCAATGGGAAAGCAAGGAACAGTTGAGACTCTTCAGGGCTGATTTACAAGAAGATGGAAGCTTCGATGAGGCAGTGAGAGGCTGTGACGGTGTATTTCATGTTGCGGCATCAATGGAATTTGGGGTTCCAGCTTCAGAAAGTGCTGGTAATATATTTTGCATTGTATCTTAGTTTAAGCTATGGAGATTAAACCTAAGTTTTGGCGGCTTGTTTCTACTTGAAGATCGCTATGTTCAAACACACATCGTAGATCCAGCAATCAGAGGAACACTAAACGTTCTCAAATCTTGTTCGAAAACATCTTCTGTCAAAAGGGTGGTTTTCACGTCATCAATCAGCACAATGACTTCCAAAGACAACTCTGGGAGATGGGTTCCAGTAGTTGACGAATCTTGCCAGATACCTATTCAACGGGTCCTAGAAACTAAACCAAGTGGCTGGGTATTGTTTCATTTCCAAATGTTGTGCTATAACCCCCCTTTATTAGCATAGCTGCACTAAATTTGATAAAAAAATCTTTGGTAGGTATATGTACTCTCAAAGCTTTTGACAGAAGAGGCAGCGTTTCAATTTGCAAATGAAAACGGCATCCATCTGATATCAGTGATAACACCCACCGTAGCTGGCCCATTCCTCACTCCTGCTGTTCCAGTTAGCATCCGAGTTCTTTTGTCTCCAATAACAGGTTCTTTTGCTATCCATTGCATGTACATTTTATTTTCTTTTTGTCGACTGTATGAAATATGATAAATTGTCAATAAGACTTCAATGAATCATTCAGTATACATAATGTAATACGCTTCTCTTAGAATATACGACAAGGAAATATAATTTGATGCAAATCTCACAATCTTCTAATTTTATTTTTTACTTTGCAATTGCAAATTGTAAAGAGATAATCTGAAGTCATTTGTTTTGAGGTGTATACTATTAGATTACTAGAGAGGCCTTAAAGTTCAATTTTGCTCCTTTAGGCGATCCTAGTCTGCTGCCAATTTTAGCTGCCGTGAACTCGAGAATGGGATCGATTGCTCTAGTTCATATTGAAGACATATGCAATGTTCACATCTTTCTCATGGAGCACGCTGAAGCAGAAGCTCGATATATATGCTGTACTGGAAGTTGCTTAATGTCCAAGCTTGTCGAGCATCTTAGTAAAGAGTACCCTTCTCCTAACATACAAAGGTTGCCATTCTTTCAATTCTACAGTCATAAATATCCTTGACTATTCAAAGATTATGAATTCATCATCTTCTTCCTCCCTTTTTTGTTGTAATTTTTCTTGTTTCATATTACAGGCTTGATGGAGAAGAACATGATTCAATCCCGTCTGAGATATCTTCGAAAAAGATAGAAGATTTAGGATTCACTTACATATATGGAATTGGAGACATTATACACGAGACTATTGGCAGGTGTGTAGCTTACGGCTTTCTACCTTACATGGAAAGGAAAGAAACTCAGTAGACTAATGTTGCTAAAAGTACTGTATGCTTAAATATCTCGACTTGTTACTCAGTTTATCTTTTCCATTCTGATCACCTTTGATTACCGTATCAGTATGTAAGCTGAAAGCCGTAATATATTATCACACATTTAATTATGGACTTCTGCGTGATGTTGGATGTTGCTCTTGTCACTTTTATTCCACAAGTTGGAAAGGAAAGCAGTCCACAA